TCTTTTTGAGAATGAAGAACGACTGCAGAAGAGAGCGAGTAAAGGTTCACAGTGACACCTACATTTCTGTTCCGCAGTCATGCATGTAGGTTGAGGCGGAGAGACTTTTCTGCCGCCAATGCTGTTTCTTTTGTGAAACATTTTCGCGAGATTCGTTGAAGTTTGAGCTGAGATATGGTTCACCGCATATGCAACAATTTGGTAGAGGCAGCGATCTTGACGTCCTACTTTACAGCTGAACTGTCAAGCAAGACGGCAGTATCAGGCGAAGTGCAAATCCAAATATAACCAAAATGAGAACTGGATCAGCGCGGGGGACATTAAAGCACACATGGACAGATAGACTACGGAGACAAAAGCAATAGATGATGCGATAGTGTGTTGAAGTGGTGAGCGAAGCCTGCGATTGAGACTCTGACCGCAGGCGGGTTTTTTGTTTGGGCTGCGCGGTTGAGACGACAACCAACCGCAGATCAGGTTCCACCTGCGCTGGGCATCAACCGTCCTTACCGCCTCCGAAAGCCATGCACGTACCACGCCAACCAACGCCATGAACCCATCAAAACTCCTGTTTACCCGTCACTTGATCTCGATATGATCGTCGTGGTCACTGCGATGCGATGCGAGAACGATCATGGCGTTGAGTTGATGATGACAGATGCCCTTCCAACGGGTACTCACTGTGCCACCTGCGCCCATCTGTTACAAGCAGCGACACCTCCATCATGATCGGAAGAAACGGCATAGTCAGATTCTCCATCTCCTCCTCGCTCTCCGCACGAGGTCTAATACTCGTGACCACCACCCATGGATCCCTGAGATCGTCCTTTCGATGTACGGACTACTCCGTACTGCGTACATCCGTCGCCCTCGTCAGGACATCATTCTGACCATGCGAGTTCCACCTCAACCCAATCATCGAATCTCTTAGTCATGCCCAGCGTTGCATCTCGCACATACGACCCCAACGGCCTCTGACCGAGATCTCAGAGAATCCCCATACCACCGGCAAATGGGAGCGGACATTGCTCGGCCAATACATTTATTCAATGGGCTTCGTACAGAATTTTGCCCCGAGACCTGTAAAAGTGACGACTCATCGCCCAACCCTCCGCCGGGTTTCCTTTCTCTATGTCTCTACCTTCGTTTTCTGTGTTTCTGGGCAAAGGAGAAAGGGAATATGACAGATACGGTGCCTATCGATGTTGCAGAACCTCGTGGAACTCCGCAACAGATCCAGCCCCGTCATGACAATGAATCCGAAAAAACTGTTGACATTGAGGAGAGTCCTTCCGCTCTCCCAAAGCTAGACGAACCGCTCCCGGATGGCGGCTATGGCTGGGTATGCGTTGCCTGCAATTTCTTCATCAATGGTGAGTACAACTCTTTTTCCTGTTAAACTGACCCGATCTCGACTACAGCGTCTCTATGCATTGGCTAAAACCCCATCTTGAGACCGAATCTGGGGTATGCGGCTAAGTACGAGAGATCGGGAGACTAGCACCATCACGCAATCCGGGGTCAGAGTAACACTAACACATGGTATACAGCACACACCTGGGGAATTAACTCCTCGTATGGCGTCTTCCTCTCGTACTATTTGAATCACAACTATTTCCCTAATACGTCCGCTCTGGCCTACGCCTTTATTGGCGGTCTCTCGATATCGCAGGCCATGTTCATTGCCCCTCTGGCCACACACATTATCCACCTCTACGGCTCCAAAGTATGCCTACATTTAGGTGTCTTCTTTGAAACACTCTCCCTTATTGGCGCTAGCTTTGCGAAGCAGAAATACCAGATCATCCTGTCGCAAGGATTCTGCTTCGGTTGGGGCATGGGGTTTTTGTTTGTGGGTTCTGTCGGTATCATACCACAATGGTTCACCACAAAACGCAGCGTCGCAAACTCGATTGCTGCGGCGGGCTCTGGTCTTGGGGGCTTGATGTATTCCCTCGTCACACAGCGGATTATCGATACAATGGGCCTCCCTTGGGCTTTTCGTATTCTAGGAATCTGCTCCTTTGCGGTAAATTTGACAGCATCAAACCTCATCCGTGACCGCAACAAACAAACCGGATCGCGTCACAAGGGATTTGATGCCCAAATCCTCCGCAAGCCCGAGTTTCTGCTCGTCCAAGGCTGGTCCTGGTTCAGCATGTTTGGCTATACAATCCTGCTCTTCTCACTGCCTGCCTACGGGCGAGCCATCGGCCTGAGTGCAAAGCAAGGCTCTGTCCTTGGGGCAATCCTGAACTTGGGTCAAATGCTCGGTCGGCCTTTGATCGGCCTATCTTCTGATCGCTGGGGTCGCATGAACCTTGCGGCGTTCCTTACTTTCTTGTGTGGCGTTTTCTGCTTCGCTTTCTGGATTCCCGCCGAGACAGTGTCGTCTCCAATGGGTCTGTTGTGTTTCTTCGCTATCGTTGGTGGCGCGCTCGCGGGAACCTTCTGGACCACCATCGCCCCCGTTGGGGCCGAGGTGCTGGGCCTTCAAGACCTACCTGCTGGATTGTCGCTCACATGGCTGATCATGGTGCCGCCTACGACGTGTGCAGAGGCGATCGCCCTGGAACTACGGCGAAGGAATACGGAGAATTGGATATACCTCCCGCCCCAAATCTTCACCGCCTTCATGTATGTTGGTGCAGGATTGTGCTTGTGGGTAGTCAGAGGATGGAAAGTTGGCGAATTGAAGTGGAAAGCACGAATGGCGAGGGAGAGCGAACAGAGGCGAGAGAGGATCATGCTGGAAAAGAAGCACCCTGTGACGGAGAAAGACGGTGTAGGGGAGCCAGCGATGCGGGCAGAGAACGTGGATGACGTCGATCGTGATGCCGACCATGTGGAGGTCCAACGATTTATGAGAAGGGAGATCTGGGGTCCACGCAATCTCTTTGCGAATATGATGGCGTGGCAAGTTGTATGAGGAGATATACTCAAATGCATATAGCGCTGTTGATATTCGTCAAGGCTCCTGAGGGATACAAGACCTTGCAATAGCTGGCCAGAATTCTGGTGCTCAACCAACCCCTACTTTGATCGTTAGAGGCTGTACATCTCGCATGTTTTGGGAACCAGGTTACAACACCCCCGTCTTCCTGAAGCGGCTTTGCAGCATTTGACCGCAGTCACCGGACAGTTTCTTATGCTTGAGCGGGTTCAAGATCCTCATAGGAAGGCGCGGCAAGCTGCAAGGACACCTTGTCTGCCTCGACATCAACCTCATCACTGGCCTAGAGAACTGATTTGTACATGAAGGCTCTGACATCCCTATGGGTTCTGGCAGTAATCGCCTAATCAATTCCTTGGAATTAGCTTCTAGACGGTTCTTGCGCGAGAAGTGCCGCCTCATGCCTTTCCAGCAGATTGTTCAGCTTGGTTTGACGACAAAGGTAGAGAGGGTAATCGGCCCTCAACGACTTACAACAAGATTCGGACAAGGCACACGTCTCTCATTTCCGGCACTTTGTTTCTCCCACCATCTCGCCATCCACGATGCCGTGTACGTAGCAGTCGCCAACCAAGGATTAAGAATCCCGCATGTTCCCAGTCCTCAGGATACGAACGAAGGATGAATGGGACGTTGCCACCAAGGAGAATTTTCAGATTTCATTACCTGAGTGAGGACAGTCGCCGAGTCCCATGTAGTCTTTGCATCTTGTGAAGGAATATTGGTACTGCGTCACATTGAAGAATGACTTGCAGAAGTTCGTGAACTTGGCCCACGCCATGGTGAATGTGGGATCTTCTGAGACGACGGAGAGCGACCCAGAGATTCACAGAGACCCCAAAGGGCTTCCCATGTATGTGGATGGTCTTGAAGATACCTGGCTTCCCCCATATGCAGCAAAGCCCATGATACTTGAGCTCATAGTTGAGAGAGACGACTTGCAGGTCGCAATGTCACGGCTCTTCCCACTCTCCTGGGAGCTGACGGAGCAGTCTGATCTCTCAACTATTAGGTTCCAGATGGCCATGTGTATCTCCGAGATCCACCCACATGCAGCAACTTAGCAGAAACGGACCCTGGCTCCTGCAAATCGAGCCGATAGTGCCGCGGTCAAACCAGAGAGAAGGCAAGATTAAAGGGACTAGGTTCTAAAGCAGTTTGATACGGAGTACCGAGTACATTGAGCCCCAAAGGGGTCTGGTAGCGCCGCTTTGAGGGGATGTGCCAGGTACTCGGTAATTTGTCTCCACTGCGAGTGGCCACTTAAGGCGGCGGCACGAGTGATCCAATCTAATCAAGCTAAATTTACCTTTCGGCCAAGCCTGCTCCAAGGGTTTATCTCCCAAATAGGGTAAAGCAATGTCTTTTCGAACATCACTCTCTACTCTGGGTGAAGCCTTCAATCACTTGCTGTCGACACAGAGAGGTGCTTTTTCCTACTTGAATTCACCATACGGCTTACAAGTGAGCCTGAGTCACTACCTTCGTGCAAACCCAATCCACCCGGGAGCCTGGAAAGCATGGAGTGAGGGATGAGGCACTCAACTCTCCTAGCCAGATAACGGAAAATATGGGGAATGGCCACGCCTTGAAAAAACGACCGTGTCGTCAGCCGAATAAATTACAGACTCCTCGAGTTGCAGCTTAGTTCACGCGTGTCTCCTAAACTCCCGGTGGCCCTCTAGGACCCTTATAAACTGGCTATCGGTGGGGCATTTCGAGTCACTCGTATTCCTGTCGAGATTCATTACCCGAAACCCCGAAACAACGTCGAAAACCGTCATTGATGGGGGAGAGGATTTCTCTCTTCTTGCAGATTAGGGCACTGATTTCTAATCGTCGCCATGGATATTGATAGAAGAGATCCTGTGCCTAGACAGGGATATATACTGGCCATGGATGGTTCGGCGGCTCTCACTATCGCCCATTCCCATCATTGCACAGGAAGTATTTCCGCCCGTTTAAATCACGTCTGATTATTCTCAGTTGGCCGACAAGGACTGCGTCACACCCTCTCTCGGAGCAAAGCTGTCTGGTTCCTGTCATCATGACTTATAAGGTCCTACATATGTGGCATCCCAGCCACAAAGTGCTAGATTTGGCCGCGGCAGAGAGATTCTTCAAGGACGTTTTTGGACGTGACAGCGAGCCAGTCGAGAGACACATACCACCCAAGGAACAAGCTCCCGAGTACCCGCGCGACTATGCAGTCCTCACCCCGATCCAGGAGGTACTGTTCGACTCTATCGACCCCAAGAAGTACGTTGTAGAAGGACGAAAGCCTTACGACGATGTCACGAAGCCCCATCTCCATGGCCTGGGATGGGTCGTGGAAGGCGCCGAGGAAATATACCAGACTTGTCTCAAGCATGTCATCCGCAGTACAGATCAGGTGAATCGTTTGGGCAGCCCCGATAAGCCACCTGTCGTCGGCTTTTCAAAGTCTCCTTGCTTTTTCACCCTGCCTGAGGTCACCGGTCTTCGATACCAGATCTATCCGGTCAGCGCGACAGAGGGAGCAGATCCGCGAGCCGAGCCCGGGTGGAGTGTCCCTCCTCTATCGGAGAGCGACCCGTTGTCCTTGGAGTTTTGCTCGCACCATACCGTCCTGACGTGTAATCCGGAACAAGGCAAAAGGTTCCTAGTGGACATCCTTCGCGGAAGAATCATCCACCAGGGTCGGAACGAGATTTTGGAAACGGACAGCACGTATATTGCTCTGGGGGATGGAGTGTACGAGCTCGCGGTCCCGACCAGAGACGGGTCTTTTGCCGCAGAAGAGCTCAAACATCACGATGTGGCACCCTTTGACTCTTACATCTCGCTGACGTTCAAGGTGAAGGATTTAGCAAAGGTAGAGAAGCACCTCGCGGCCATGAAGATTCGCACCCTTGTCCGCGACCAGCACACGATCACGACAGATCCTGAAGACACTATTGGGGTGGCTTGGGGTTTCACAGACAAGCTTGTACCGGGGGACCCTAGGACCTAAGATGGGGCCGTTTTCACCGTCAATACAGCCGAAAGTGCCATGTTCAGTCTCTACGAAACACGAGTATACTGCCGAAAGGTCATGGAGACTTGCAAACTCTCTAATTATATTAGTGCCGACGGGGAGGAGCTTTCATTACCATACAAGGGTTTTTATTTTTCATTTATCCAGTTCAAGGCCCTGTGTGCGCATACTATCCATCTCGAGAATAGCAGTACATATCAGGCAGAAAGATGTATGTGTGAAGTGTGACAGACTTGAGCATAAGAAAACCCCACAAATTCTCGATGCTGTTACGCTTGAAACAGCCCAGAGTCCAATAGGCCGGAGTACCTGAAGCGTACGCGCCTGTTCATTTGTAGGCGTCACGTTTAGTGCACCGGAAGCGCGCGAGGACCAATTTCCACACGCTTCTTGATTGACGCGTGGTCCTCCCCAGAATTCAGTCGCCTGATCAGTTCGTTGGGATCGAAATCTGTTCCGATGGGGTTCTCGTTGAATTGCTTCGAAGCCATGAACTCACTGGCCCCTTGGACGGTGTCAAAATTGTCAACCTGAATCTCGGTGCGGTTCCCGTCCGGATCGTCATAGTACATGCTAGTTGTAGGCCCGTGGTTGACGCACCAGACGGGTTCAATTCCGTTGGCCTTGCGCTGGAGATAGGCGTTGGCGAAGTCCTCGAGGGAGTTGTACGTAAAAGCCATATGCTGCAGACCTGCGGCCTTTGGGTCTCTTGGGCCCAAGGATGGAATCTGGACGATGGCGACGCGATGATGCTCCTCGTCATAGGTGAGGAAGCACGCAAAGTCATTCTCATAGCTTGCGTGGGCGTTCAAGAATTTCTTGTAAAATTCCGCCATCGGCTTGAGACTGTTTGTCTGAAAGACGACGTGGGCCATGAAATTCGGCGGCGTGACCGTCTTTCCGGCGGTGTTGGGATCGATAACCATGATGAAGGAGTTTGGCCCTGGCTGGCTGTCTGTCGCTGGACAAATAACAATAGGAGACACAAAGTGGAATGGTCGGCCTTGCTCTGGACGCTTGAACGTAAATACATATAGTTCTTCGAACTCCATCCAGATCATCTACTGCCGTCGTTGGTATCCCGGGGGTTGAGCCCTCTCCGGAGATTCGGTGTAGCGAAATCCCGGACAATCGCTACAGCTTCGGGAAAAGAGGTGCGAAAAAAATGATAGAAAGTTGGATATACACAGCTCCGGATGATATGCACAAAGTTGCTGAGCATGACAGCTCCGGTTCTCTGAGCCTTTCGGATGACAAAATTCCCGGGAAATCATTCTTGGTAGGAACAGCAGAGCGGTACAAGATGTTCTGGTTCTTGAACTGCTTTGCAGCTGTAATCACTCGATACACGGCACCTTGACCAGTATACCCAAAGCCGCACTCTTTCCGCTCGTAATATGACCCGATTTGATCGACTTGTGCGCTTCAGAGACCCCCAGGGTCGTATTCAGCAGGGCGAAGCTTCCAATATTCCGTGGGATTCGGAATTGGTTGGGAAGGTTGTGCCACTGTATACTGGCATCGATCCTTGGGACGAGAACTTCCACCTGACGGAAAAAACTGCGATGATTTCCCAGGTGACTTGTCCAGACTTCCGGTACCTTGGAAATCGAGTTGATGTTTTTGGCAGGTTCTGTCTCCTCTACCTTCCGTGCCTCTGATTAATGGCATTGGGCTCAACTACCGGGAACATGCGAATGAAGGAAATGTATGTTAACGAATCCCCCCTGAGCATGCACTACTTTTGGGTTCTGATTAGAGACTGACAACATGGCTTTACCCAGGTGCCTATTCCTCCACATCCTGTCGTGTTTGTGAAATATCCTGGTACGCCATGACCCGTGTTGGCAGTTCTCCTAGCTCTAACATGGCACGTCAAGACTCGCTCGCGGGGCCCTTCGAGGACATTCCCATCCCCAAAGATGCCACCTTGCTCGACTACGAGGGAGAGCTGTGTGTCGTGCTTGGGGAAGATGTCAAAAATCTTTCCCCTGACGATGACCCGTTGGACTATGTCCTGGGTTATACAAGTGGAAACGACGTGTCCTCGCGCTTTTGGCAGCAACAGAACCAAAGTGGTGGCCAGCACGGCTACGCAAAGTCCTTTGACAAGTTCGCGCCCTTGGGCCCCGTGCTCGTCTCCCGGCGTGTCATCAAAGAGCCTGGAGATTTGACCCTCAAGACCTGGGTCAATGGCGAGCTGAGGCAAAATGGGAACACGAATGACTTGATTTTCGATGTCCCTACCCTCATCAGACACCTGTCTCGTGGCATGACCCTTCGGAAGGGCACTGTCATCATGACGGGAACCCCAAGTGGAGTAGGTATTGTCCAAAACCCTCCGGCTCCTCTTCAGGACGGCGATGTCGTCGAGGTGGAGATTTCTGAGATTGGCCGCATAAAGAACAAAATGGTGTTTATCAAATAGAAGATAGATATATCCACTATTACGGGAGACCATGCTAGACTTAGCCAACCGAACTACATGCGTCTCAGCAGCTGGCTGATCCCGAAAAAATGATAACTGCATTCCCAATCCCGAAATACCAACCAGTATTTGGGGTGACGGTCGTTATTATACGAAGCTTCTATCAAGGTCGCTCCCTTGAGACACTCATAAAAGGTGAGACATTCTTTCTGAGCACAAGATTGAAAATCGAATGTGTAAAGGCATTTGATCGCTCAGAGGAGAAATCAACCATCTGTCATTGAAACTGTCCCTTCTTAGCTAGCTTGTAATCCGGATATTGCACAAAGAGCTCGTTCGTCCCAGAGAAGGGTTTGCGTTGCTTCTCCTCTTCAAGATCCGTGTCCAAGGGCGGACCGTTCACCACGCTACGAAGGCCGACTGCAACTTGGACGATATGGTCAGCATCAGCCTTGCTGCCGATAGAATCTCCCCTCCATGCAACATGCCCGTCTGGACGGACGAGGACCAGGTCTTTCTGCCAGATCTTCCGCGCGTGGTCTTCTCCTCGCAGTTCGACATGCTTGAGAGGGAACCGGTGCTCCGCTGCGCTGCTAAGAAGGAAATCTGCGCCATGGTTGCCTCCTTCGGCGAAATGGACAAGAGTATAGTGCGTGCCATAGAGGTCAAATATGGCTGTCCCATCTCGCAGGAAGACGTGTGGAGCACGCGATCCCGGCCAGGTTGAAGGGGTGTACTTCCTAGGGTTGAATTCAGGCTCGGTGGCGGGATCCTCTGGAATTATCACCTTGGAGTGGTAGAGATATCCAAACTCGACCCCCACGTCTCGGTTCTCGCCATCGTGGGTCTGATAGTGTTCATGTATCTTTCTTCTCAGCTCCTCGCCCTCCTTCGAGTCGGCGTCGAGGTGTTCGGGACCGTTCTTGGCCAGCATCTCGTTCATCCTCTGGTGCACGAGGAGATGGTAGCCCGCTCGTTCGACACTCATCAGAGCGACGGGACGCCTTTCCTGCTGATATGAATCGAGGAGATGGACGCCTCCATAGCCATGGATCACGCCTTCCAGCTTCGTCGCGAGCGTAAAGGCATCTCCTAGTCCCATGTTCATTCCATAGCCTCCGGTGGGGACGTTCTGATGTGCTGCGTCCCCAGCAATGAAGAGTCGCCGTTTGAGTCCCATGTATTGCGTCGCCACGACAAGGTTGGGCCGGTAGGTGGAACGAACCAAGACTTTGTCGATATCGATCGATACAGGCTCTCCATCACCGCTTGAAATCCGGGAAACAGCTTCCTCGGGAGTGATATGGTCTGTATTCATGGTGATGGGATAGTGGGAATGGGTGGTCCAAGTGTCGTTCTCGTCTTGGGAAATAAAAGCCCCAATAAATCCGTGCTTGGAAATGACATAGTTGTGCCAGAATGTGCCGTGGCTGTGTAGGTTCTTGGTGTCATTCGACGTGAAGTGGACGAGGATGGAGTATCCTGGCCTATCTGGTGATCAGTTCTGTATGCCCTATCCTTGCACTCATGTGTCTCTTGTTACTCACGCCGGTCCCCCTACGAGTGGAATTCCAAGGCCACGACGAACTCTGCTGGATCCACCGTCACATCCAACGCCATATTTGGCTTTGAATGTATGAAGCCTTCCGTTCTTGTCAGTCGCAGTCGCAATGATTCCCTCGTCAGTTTCTTGCGCACCCTCCACCTTCCACCCGAAGCGGAGGTCAATCAAGGGATCTTTGTCATTGATCTCCCTCAACCAAGCCTCGAATATAATTTGAGAGAGCCGCAGCCATGGCTCCAGTGGCTGTTCTCCATCATTTTGCTCCTGGATTCTCTGTCGCCATTCGTCGACCGTGCCAAAGTTCCACTCTGTTACCATTTTGCCATTGATACCGGTAGTAAATGTACTGCGATAGGGTATATTTGAAGGCACACCTGCCGACGACAGCAGGATTAGTTCTTTGTTTAATTGTCGGCATGATCGAGTAATTTTTACCCTTTTCACGCAGCGAATCTGCCAGGCCGAGCTTTCGGAAAAACTCCATAGATCGAGGATTCGTCAGATCCATCTTGGGCCATCTGTGTAAAAACTTAGCATCTTTCTTGAAGTTTAGGTGCTATCTAGTTACCTTGTTGTCGTGTCATTCCTTTCGAGAACAACTGACTTGATGCCGTAGTAGGACAATGCTGCAGCCAAGGTCAAGCCCACAGGGCCTCCACCGGCAATGAAAACACAGTCGTCTGGGAGAATGTGTTCGAGCTCGCCATCAGCTTCACTAAAATGAAAGACCTCTGTCGAATCTCCGTTGGGTTGCTTTGGCGTCATGATGGCGATGCTGATGTATAGAACTATCCAAAGTGTCTCAACCGACTCGCAGAGAAGGATTTACATGGATCGCTACGACTTGTGGTCTTTCTTTATGGGGACATGGGGACAAGACAGAATTTGCCGATAAGAAGTCAGAAAACAGGCAAACAAGCCCACAACAAAGTCGACCGGGGTTCAGTAATACAATCACGATCCTGGCAAGGAATGGGACTCGGGCCTTCGGGGACTGTGACCAGGGCCTCCGCATACGAGCGGCCCGAAAATTCGACTATGCATTGTACATTCGTCTTAGGCCAAGCAAGTGATCGGGCGGAAATAAAAATTGCAATGGTGAAGACACACTCCGAGGCTGGCTCATAATTCGGGACCGCAATCCATATCATGGTTGTGTCTCGGAGAAAGAAGCACCGAATGGTCCCATTTCTCGACGATATTTGCAAAACATGGATTGAAGAGAAAGGAGTAATGGCGTCATTCTCCATTTCAAGGCCGATGTATTATATGGTAGCGATGGTGCCAAAACAGCTCAGTTTGAGATCTTTCTGGGTCTGTGGCCTAAGAAGGATATTTGATAGTGACTCTTGACTTGAAGGAACCACATGGCTACCGCTACCGCATCCGCGAAATGGCCAGATGTTGGAGAAGTGCCACAATGGCTGAAGAATTGGCTGGACGACTTCTACGCCCTTGCAGACACTCAAGGGGACGAAGCGAGTCGCAAATTTGCTGCTCATTTTGCCGAGGACGGTGTTCAGTATGGGTTGGGCGGTCCTTTACGTGGCAGAGAAGGTACCAGCTCCTTGTAACACGAGCTTGTTTTGTTCATTTTGTGTTTTTTCTAAGATTGCGACTGACTAGATGGTCCTGACTGCAGCGATTGTGCAAGCTCGAGCGCCTGGATGGAAACCCATGGACTGGCGCAAACATGAGGTGTTACAAATCTTTACGGCCCGACGAGACTACAGCGACGTCTTGGTACAGGGCCGAATTACAGCCGTGTTCAAGAACAAACAAGAAGTCTCAGGAGAATTTGCGGTGCAGATTGTGTTTGATGATGTCTCCGCGCCCGAACCAAAGGCTGTGCTGTACAAGAACTGGAGTATAAGCGTCAATTTGATTATCAACCGGAGGCAAAAGCTGCCATGCTAATATACATCATCAGGATACCGCTCCATGGGCGAGAGCTATAGGGACCAACAAGTAGAAGGGTTGGGAGCGGTGTCCACGGTTTCATCTTCAGATATCCTGTTGCATTGCACGCGTCATGTCTAGTATCTGCAAAAGCGCGGGCAAAAGAAATTTAGGGTCTGTCCATAATCAACTCCAGAACATCTGTGCCAAGGGGAGGGGCCTACTTGCCATGAATGCGGTTAAAATAGGCAGGATTTGACTCCCCTGGTTATTTTGAGCACTTAGGTACAGTGCTGTCCCCAGACAGCTGATTGGCAGAGACAAATGCCTGCGACTAGCAACCCAGAAGAGGCTAGACCAGCACGAACTCCGTAGATGGGCTGGTAAGGCCTCGTGGTTGCAGCTAGGCTGTGGCAAAGCCGCGAGTACGAGGCACAAATTGGAGATACAGCCGGAAAGAAACCCGCCCTACAGCACTATTGATGTACTATATACAAGTACAGAAAGGAGAGACGGAGCAACAGACAGCAATCCGGAGAATCTGGGGAGGTCCGCCTCCCCCGAAATGCCCGCATTCTGCCTCCGGAGATTCCAAAAGTCCGAAACTACTTTTGCGGACTTGGCACATTCACGTGATATCGGCCGACAAATATTGTAGCCTCTCAAAGGCTGCGCAAGCCGCGATGCCTTCTTACCGTGGCTAATTGCCATGGCTAATTACAATGGCTAAGAGCAGGGATATCTCGGCTAGCTGCGGCTCAATACGCTCAGCCACGAGGCCCAGAGTTCGTGGAAGGCGGGGGATACCTCGCAGCAAGTCGGGCCTGTCGACTTAAATCATCCCCATACTCAATTGGAGGTAACTTTCTTTCTGGACTCCATGTCAAACATAGTCCATTTTCAGGATACAAATGAGCGGACGAATACCCATGGCCTGCGGCAACTGTCGTATGAAGAAGGTCAGATGTGCGTTTGGACTATATCGACCCCCGCAAGAGACTGAATAGATTTGGTAACCTGTCTCGCAGGCGACAATAAAAGACCAACCTGTTCGTATTGCAAGGTAAAAGATCGATTGCAGCCAGGCTTATTCGCGACTAAAAGGAGTGTTGACGTTGACTAGGATCATGGCATCTGCTGCTCCTACCCACCCAGGGTAAAAAGAATATCGAAACCTCGAGATTCTGAAAGTGAGTCTCTTGGTCACGAATCTCCTCAGTCGAGCCGCACCTCAGGTCTCAAAACGAAGGACTAATCTCGAACTGCGATTGGGCCGTCAGCGTTTGAGAATCGTATCCGCCACCTCGAAAGTCTGCTGGCGCGTGTCCAAAAGAATGGCAGTGAGACACCGCAAACCGAGACGCGCTCGATTGAACCAAGGATGGCGGTCGATTCAACCGCCCATGAGAATCTCACATACCACGGCTCAGCGGGGCCTGGGTGGCCTTCTCTCTGCACGCCGTCGTTCAGCGTCCCGAACGCCTCTGTGTATCCAGAGCTTCCCGAGACGCATACATCATGCTCATGCAGCCACCAAGGGAAGACGGTGGAATCGGTCCTCTGGGGGGCGGAGGAAGCCAGTTCAGCGCTGGAGGATCAGCGCTCTATCTTAGTTACGGGCCAAGTGAGCAGATCTCTTTGTTGTCGTCCTTCTTGACTGACCAAATATGGTACGCGGGACGCAGAATGGCCAAGAGTTCATTGGTAAGTCAATGGACGACAGCACCGTCTTTGTCCAGAGTCACTCAAAGAAAGATCGTAATAGGATCGTCCTGTGCCATGGCACTGTTCACCGATCAGGGACTGCAGTGGATCTCCCAGTCAGTCAACAACTCCAAGAGCCTGGACTCGTTGCGAAACCTGATGGCTTCAATCATGTCCTTGTTGAAGCTTCCGGACCCAGAGTTTCATGGCGAGATTGCTCTGGAGGTGAAATTGTCGCGGACGCCACTTCCATCCGAGGATATGGCGAGGAGATATGTCCAGGGTAGAGTCCCCCAGTGCGCTGAGCGGAGCGAACAGGAGACGCACACTCTCCCTTGACAAACCAGCTACTGACCTAAACCAGTGTATTTCGATCAAGGTCAATGGTACCGTCCCCTTTGGCATCCCTACTGCCTTTTTCCCCCGTCCTGGAAAGGGCGGCCTGCATAGGAATACCCTGTTTTGTGGCTGTCCCTCCAGCTCTGAAGCCGAGTTCTAACCAAGACTTGTAGCCTCTGGCCAGTTCTTGACAGGGGCGAGTTCATGAAAGACTGCGAAAGTTTCTGGAAAGATCCTTCTCGCGCTGGTCCTCAATGGTACGCGGTCTATAATATGGTTCTGGCAATTGCAGTACGATCGCATCTCCGCTCGAATTCGCCGTCTCTATTCAAACAGGCCGAGGACTCAGCAGCCAGATACATGAAAAACGCGCTATCAGTTCAGCAGGAGATGCTGCAGCAGCGCACGACTCTACACACCGTTCAGGTTAGAAGTGTTCAGTATAGAGCCCGATTTGATAATTATCTCACTAATTCTCGCGTGGGATATATTAGGCATTTGCACTCATGGTCAGTATCCTTCTTGATGAGCCCTTAACACGCAGGATTCGTGTTTCCTTGCCCTAACCACGTGTGTTTTGGCCACAGTCGATCTTCGCTCAAGGCATCGCAGGCAGGGAGACTGAATATATCTATTCTGCGATTGCCATCCGCCTGGCTCAGGGACTAGGAATGCACAGAACGCCTCTCAAGGTTTGGAACTTGACGGCCAGTGAAGCCCAGGAGAGAAACCGAGTCTATTGGTCTCTGTACTCTCTTGAGAAGATCTGCGCCTACCACTCTGGGCGACCTTCAGTATGTATTCTACCACCCTCTCTTGTAACATCTACACAAGCAAAGCCATCGCAAAAGTCTGACGATCGACCATTCTCCGCTAGGTGATCGATGACGACGACGTCACTTGTCCTTTCCCGCGACAAGTGCTTGAGAAATCTTGCAGCGGCATGAACGCCGTTGAGGAGAAGGGTGATCTGTTTCTTAACATTGCTAGATATGCCAGACACTGTGCCAGCATAAGCCAGCAGCTCTTTTCGGCGACTTCCCTGACGCGAGACCCGAAAGAGATAGTCAGCAACATCGTCGCCTTATACGACGATCTCAAGAGATGGTGGGCTGCCACGGAAGTATGTGCGAATCCTCTGGATATTGACCAACTCCCCAATGTTTCTGGCATGTCGACAGGATTGGAGTTGGCACAACACGTCGTTTTGCGCAGTTGGTACTACACCTCACTGTTCTCCCTGCACCGGGCATGTCGAGTGTCGGGGTTCGTCATTCTCGAGAAAATGGTTGCCGACATTAGTCCAGAACACGACATGAAATTGAAACAAATAGCAGAAGACGGAGTTGCCGCAGCTCGGTCACTGTGTCTTCTCATTCAGCAGCTCAAGATCGAGCCGCAGACACCCACGTGGTAAGTTCTGGTCCGTAACAGTTTTCCAAATGTCTTGTGTATTGACACATGGGGGTGTTCTGCAGGTTGATATTGTACTTTCCGATCATGGGAGTTTTGACTCTTTTCATCAATGTCGTGTCCAACCCAGCGGCTCCGACCGCGGCCAGCGACATCGCCATCATGGAGATCGTGACAGGAACTTTTGGCCGTCTCGAGTTCATCACACAAGGTCGATTAGCCTTGACCAGGATTGGAGAGCTCGCCAGTATTGCTCGAGCCGTAGTGGAGCAGGACATGGCCTCACAGCAGGGAGGGGATTTTGGCCCCTTGGGTGACGAGTTTCTCTCCGGTGAGCTGCATAATTTCGAGTTGCCCATCCTCGAAGACGAACTGGCATCGGAGAGGCTGGAGTTCTGACCTGTGGATGAGGCTACTGGGAGTGCGCTGGTAAGGGGTGGGTGATGTGCTGAACAACTAAATGTCCTATACAGAATGCATGCAAATGCGGCTTGACCTTTTGTAGATTGTATGTTATTGGTTTGCAAAGAATGCGCTCCAGCAGTGCACCCGAGGTTCAAGACTTGGAACTGCCACTAGCCCGCGTATAGCTCTCCTTGAGCTGAGAATCCCCACTCTGCTACGCATATTGGGAATCTGGTCATCTTCAAAGGTAGTAACCACTATGGGCATGCTTGTTTTAAGAGCCGTCTCACAATCATACGCGTCCCGCCCAAGGGAAATTCCTCTCTGGACAAAATACGGCCATACGGCAATATCAGGCAGGTCATGGACTGCGAGGAAATCGGCCTGCCATTCTTTTATGTCTTTCCCCAGATTAGGAAACAGGCATTGGTACGTGTGGTCTTCGGGTAAATCGTCGTCGGAGCTCGGAGAGCAGGGCGTCGGAAGTGCCAGTCAGGCTCATCTCCGGGCGAGGTCCCCCGACATGGCAAGAGTTCACGAAAGTCGGTGTCGGACTTGCCTAACCATCTTACACCTGACGAAATATAAACACAGTGGAACTGATAGGCGTCGGTTCCTGATTTTAGCAAGCCAGCTTTCAGTCCAGCCAAAGAGCTGTGACCAGGCTGTCAAAAGGTTTTCCTGACTGCTTCGTTTTCCCCTTGCCTCCTAGGGCTACTGAAAATAACCGATCCTTAACAATGTCGTCAAAGGCTGCAAAGCTAGTGCGGTCCCAACTTGCAGGAAGCTGGGAACTCATAGAGTACAGCCTCCCGCTTGAGGCAGACCCGGCAAACAAGCTATACCCTATGACTCCGCACGTCAAGGGCATCATTCTGTACACTGAAGACGGGTACATGTCGGCGCAGCTGCACATTCCCGGCCAGAGACCGTTTGAGGGCGAACAACCGTTTGATCGAACTGTTGGTCCCGAGGGAGCCGCGGCAGCGGAGAGGGAATGGGCCAAGGTCGGACGCAAGTACATTGCCTACACGGGGGAATTTTACATCGACGTCGACAGAGAACAGCCCGTCATCAAGCACCACATGCGCTGCGCCAGTCTGCCGTACATGGTGACGGATGTTCAAGAGAGAACCTTCCAGTTTGAGGGTAGGAGTGACGGGAATAGGTATTTGGTGCTCGGGCTCGCTGAACCCATCAAGGTGCGAGGCGAATCCAGGCAAGTTTTCGTGCTCTGGAAGCGTCTGCCATTCAACGAGCGAAGTGAACCAGATGCAACAAGGGAGTGGTGACCGTCAACTATCTATGGGCTTGCTCTTCAGACATAACTGGTGGAATGCGTTATGCTGATTGGCTCCCCCAGACGTTAATTGTGGATATGGATCCTCTTCGATTTCCATCTTTGGACGATGTTGTTCATTTGAATATTATTACCGAATTACTGCATCGTCCCCCTTGGGAAAGCTCCCTTAGTGGTTGGCCTCACACTCTAGAGCTCTCGAGCACTTTAGGCGAAGACAGTGGTTGAATATCTGTGGTATTCTTGAATTCCCTTGGCCTGGTGCTAATGGAAGTTTCCAAAAAAAAAAAAACACCTTGTATGTCGTAGAGCATTATGCATGGTTGGATTTTCATCGAATCCAAAGGGGATGCCGCACTTCCTAGTTATATTAAGCCCAAGCCGTTTTCAGTGGTGTTCAAACCAAGAACCCCAGCCCATGTCGATCTGGTCAAGCGGAAGATGAATGAGGCAACGGTGTTTTTGATGGCATGGGACGACTGAGAGGCCGGTTATTTGAGAATTCGAAATCTAACGGCGAAGTAGAGGCTGATTTTGCGCGTTTCGGGTCGATTAGCTCGGGTTCCTTCTCTCTCCCCC